ATAGGGAGAGTTGAAACTGGCTATTTTTCTTTCCTCACTTCAAATGCTGGATGAGGCTGGAGTTGGATATTTTTCTTCTCCCACTTTGAAGGCTATAGGGGGCTGGAGTTGCATATTACCCTTACTCCAGATCCTTTAAGAGTTGGCTGTCATTAAGAGCAGAGCTCTTTGGATATTTTCAAAATGGTTGCTTTCATCCTTTCTCTACCAGAGGCATGAGGGGATTTTTCTCTGATATTAACCCTGAGAATCTGGTGGACCTCCTGTAGGTAAAACTCACAAAAGTGTGACCCCACCCCCCAAGACTGGGCCCTCAGGGTTTTTTATTTCACAAGCTAGTTCACACTCAGTCTCTAGAAACTAGTCAATTGTGCTTTAAGTTTTCCTACCAGTTGCTGGCTCCTGTGGCTGCTTCAGCTTCCAGTAAACTGTGATTGTCTGTGTTCAACTGTCTCTCCAGATTCTGGGGCAGTCATTTTCATTGTGACTTCAATTATCTGATGAATATGAGAAGAATGGTTAATTTTCAGGTTGTTCAGCTTTTTTCTTGCTGTGAGGATGGGAGTGACAACTTTGAAGCCCTGTACACATTGGATGGGAAACTGGAAGTCAACCCCAGCATTAGAATTAGAACTTTGGATTGTCTTTTGGATTGTCCCAGACTCCTATTAGGAATGTGAGTCACATTAACTCCTGGCAGTCATAAACATACCATGATAGATGTATATGTAATCTGAAAGCAGGGTACTGAGAGTAATAACAATAATAGAATAAGAGTTAATATTTATTGATTGGTTTTAGCATGTGATACTCTATATTACAGAGCATTTACATACATTATCTAATTTAATCCTCATAATCACTCCTTTTGGTAAATATTATTATTATCGCCACCTGTTGTTTATAGGGGACACATCTGAAGCTTAGATCAATTAAGTAGTATGCTCAAGAACATGCAATTTGGGATTTCAACCCAAGTGTTTGAGTCTAGAACTTATATTCTTAACCACTGTGAACTACCAGCTTCAACATTAGAACTGTGAAGATAGAAGGTTGGATAAATAGAACTGGGGAGGGGAAGGACTCCCTGGAGTGGATTATCATAGGTATTTGGAGTTAGAGATAGGGATGAAAAGGGTAAGGTTGATACCTAATTCACAATTGTGCTCCTATCTCTTTCATCTTTAAATCGAAGAAAGTTCAGGTTCACTACAGATTGTTAGGCAGATGACTAGATGCTCTATGAAATAGTCCACTCTCTAGGGGAAAAAAAAGAAGTTGGTCTCAGGGAATTGGTGTTAGGTATTCGAACAAAGCTGCTTTGAGGACCAGAGGTTCCACGATTGGCTTGTGGTTGCATAGCTGCTTTGTGTCTGAGCCTCATAATCAGAATAAATATTTAAATAACTCTTCCTGGTGTTCTTGCCATAAAGAATGAGTCATGTGCTCTAAATAGCACTGAAGTAGCCTTGACCAACAAATCAAACTGATCAAAAAACACCTGTGTGTATGATGCTGCTAGCTAGAAGTAGACTGTGAATACAATGGTAAATATATCAGGGTGGAAACCCCAAGGTCCAAATGTGGCTGGCAACAGGTTACTTCAAGGGGCTTCGTCAAAAGAGGTTTTTGTTGTGCATCCTGGGCTCCCAACCCAGCAACCGGTGGCAAGTGACATCTGCCACCCAAGAAGACTGAGAGGGAGGGAAACTTTAAGGGCTAACATTATTTTGAGTGAGCAAGGATGTTGTCCTACAATAAATTGCTCTATGAGTAGACAGCCAGGCCGTGCACTGGAGTTATTTGTTGAACTTTGGCACCTCTAGCAAAACTGGTCTTCTGAAAAATCTTCAAGTTGATGAAGTTTATTGTAATAGTCTCAGGGGCATTACGTAATAGGCGAATTGCACACTGAGAACAATATTAAGGGCTTACACACATTTAAGACTTTGGTGGCTTGTCCTTGCCTCCGATAAATAACCATTTTGAAACTTGACCTATGTACTTCAAACATCTTTGCCTAACAAGCTGTCAGAATTCAATTAAACAAGTCTGGGAACAATGAGGTATGGCAATGTTGTCTGTCCGCTAGGAAAGAGGTGATGGGAAGATTGGGGGCAGGAGAGAAGCAGTGACAGTAGTAAGACTGGCAGCCAGCTGTTTAAGCAAGAGATGCTGCAAATAATGGAGTGAAGAGCCTGGAAGACTTCTGAGAGTCGATATAGGCACCCAGGTGTGGGTAGGATTGCCAATGAGTTAACTTTGTGAAGGATTGGTTGGTGGGGGCAGGATGGTCATCTATAAGGCTCTTCTGAACAAAATATAGCTCCTCTACCCACCTGCTAGGATTAGTGTTAGAGTGGCCTCTTAGGAAATATACATTTTCAGTAGGTTAAAGTAGTCTGTTGCTAGGGCATGCTTAACCAATTAGTGAAGATTTGCTTTTATCTGATTATATCAGCACCCGTTTTCAACAAGCATAGCTTGAGGTTTGGAGGAGACATAATCTACGATTGGGAAAGTTTAGGGATGAAAAACGTTCTCTGTTTTCAATGACTGCTATATATAATGCTGCCCAATAAGAGTGTAATGAATAAACTTTGCAAGCCTCTGGGATCTGGCTGCTCCCATGATAGTATATACTGTCCCCATACGCAGAGTAAGAAATTGAGACCTAAGTAAGTTAAGCAAATTTGCCCAAGAACACGGAACTTGAGTGAACTCTAGATTTTGACCTAGAGCTGTGTTGCTCTAAAGACAGTTTGCCTTTTCATTTATACTACATTGTCTCCAGAGGGGTGGAGGTGACTTGACGAAAAATGTTCCTATTTCACAGTTTTTAAAAAAAAAAGAACCATCTATTGGGTACAAAGAATCCTTTATAAGGCTAGATGGCAATTTGGAAATCACTTGGGACTATCTAGATCTATCCCAAAGAACGTGTACAGATTCCAGGCTGTTCTTCATCAGGAGTCATTTTATAATTCCTATTCACTCTTTAGATTTTACTTCCTTGGAAAATGCAAAATAGTATGCTGGGAAAATGAAAATGGTTATAGCTAATTGCGTCCGGACTTTCTCCCTAAAATGACATTAGAAAATGATCCCATTTGTCTTTGAATAAAATGAGTGTGTGGGCTCATTTGCCCACCCCCACCACCGCTATGTGAAAGTGAAGCAGCTCAGTTTTCATTTTCCTTTCCTTTCAAAATGCCCAGAGGGACCATATTTTTGTTTAATGACCTTCAGAATGATTCCTTAGAAATCTGAGGCTATCAGAGTTGGAAGCAATGCGAAAATAATTGTGGATTATTATTGTATGACGATAGTGGCAGCTGGGCTATTTTTTTTTCTTTCTGTTCAGACTTTCTTCTTCATTTTCCCAGAAACCTTATATCCCAAGGTTTAACTCAGAAGCAAATCTCATATAGGTGATAAACCTTGCCAGACATAGTACGTAATACAATTTCAGACAGACCCTTAACTGTTCTTTGGAAAGACCCTAGGGAGTAAAGCAGCATTATATCTAGATGTCCTAGATAGTATTACTTTTATTTACTCCCTGACAATGTTAGTGGGTAATTGTGGTGGACAAAAAGCAAGCATATCTCTTAAATATTGTACCTGTGAACTTAAGCGCCAGTTTTTGTGTTTTGTTGTCAAAACTCCTGCTATCATAAAAGAAAAAAATTTGTTACAGTAAAAAACTAGTAAACGGGTACTCACCCTTCCAAATCATTTTACACATGCAAGCATGCAGAGCTGGGGATTGAGAGCACCGATTCTACACTTATGTGAATGTTTAGGATGTGTATGTGTGGAGGGCGGAGGTAGGGGGTGGAGATAGAAGAGATGTTGTATATACCCTAGATTGGAAAGTGGAATATGTTCTCAACTATTATTCACATCATCTGCCTCACCATCGATGTTTTTATTGCCTTAACTGACGGATTCAGAATTTAGATGATAAAATGCTTTTGCTTTGATTATTTAGCACTCCCTCGCAGCTATCCCTTACACTTCCACTGATGCTTGTACAGCTTTTGGTCACCATTTTGGTTGAACATTTGACATGAGTGGTAGGCAAACTGGAACAATGTCTAAAAAGTAGTCTGAGAAAACCCCCAAAAGGCAAAGCCACTTGGCTGACTATTTTTACATACTTGGCTATTGCTATATCCTTGTCACTCTCTGAAAAAGAGTTAAACATTCCTTTGTAGGGAAGTCCAATTCCGGTAGCAATACTCCCTCACATTCCCATCAGGAGAGTAGAAGAACTGGCTTCAAAACCCCAATCTTATTCTCTGGTCATATATCAGTGTACCCAGAAAGTAAGTAGATAATTTCTTTGTTCTGTTACTAAAATAAAGTGTGTCCTTATTTTACCTGACTATGTTTCTAGAGAACTCATTAAGCATAATTTTCCAGACCCTCTGCTCTACCACTCAAATGGATCTCTTGACTATGGGGAGGGAAACTCTGGACTATTAGTATTAGTCTTTATTATAAGAAGTAATTAATGAAACCAATGTAGACTCCATTGTCAATGTAAAAGCCTATTATGAATTTTTAATAATGCCTTGTAGTATGCTGTGTTGCTAAATGAACACTATCCTCTTAGGACTCTTAGGAAATATCCCTGCCAAATAGAAAGAATCAGGGCATTATAATGACATTTAGCAACTTTTAAGGTTCTGCTACACCTTTTTTTGCATTTGGGGAGCTTGTATGCTTTCCTACTTTTGCAGAATGTCTCTAAAGACATTCTGCTCTTGGGATCAGGCCTTTAACGTGGCTGTTAGAGGGATAGTTGTGATATTTGAAATGGACACAATAAGACACAATTGTGATATTTTCTGGCCATTGACTTAACTTTTTAGTTACATATTTTGAAAACTAAAGAAAAGACTAAAAAAAAGTGAATCTACATACTTGCCAGTACTAAGACTTAGTGATGTGAATTTTTATTTTTCGCTTACTTGCAAATATTTTCTCTGCAGGAATGCAAGCCAAAAATGTGGAGAAGCATAATAATACAGAAAGGAAATGCTCTTCTAATCCAGGAAGTTCAAGAAGAAGATGGAGGAAATTACACTTGTGAACTTAAGTATGAAGGAAAACTTGTAAGACGAACAACTGAATTGAAAGTTACAGGTAGGAATTGGTTCTACCAAATTATGGCAAGTGAGACTTGAAATATAATTTGGTACAGGAAGGAACAGTTTCCTACAAAGTGCCAAATTGCTGCGAATTTAGAATTGGCTGCAAATCAAATAGTTGGGAAGCTTACTGTTAATAAGTTGTACTGATAAGCTATTTGTGGAATATGAACAATTAACTTAGGGAACAAGGGCCCAATTGATGCATATATGTTCTCTGCCTTTATGAAAGGTTCTTAACTCTTCAAGATGTCATTGATTGTTACTAAGTATCTCAGAAAAGATATGCTGGAACCACTTTGAAATGCTGACAACCCATATGTGGGATCTCCTTGCAGGTGAAGTCTCCCTCAGAATGAGGTTCTGTAGCGCTTTTGAAATGAAATCTTCTTGGACTGCATCCAAAATTCATTTATGCAAAGTTGCTCATAAATGAGTGATGTCGTCATGAGCTTCTAGTGATTCTTGAATGAAGCAACTTCAAAAGAGTAGCATGCACATGTGTTTTAAATCTGAAGTAAACGCAAAGTGTAAACTAGTAATTCTACTCATAGTAGTGGAAGAGAGAAACTCAGGTTATTCTTTTCTGGTGGAGAATATTAGAAAGTAATTTTCAGACACATAGGACAGAACCTGATACCACAAAATTTATCCCTGAGAATAGATATGATGTAACCTAAGAAACTGTTTCACAAAAAGTCTACCTGATATTTTTCCTGAGCAAACCTTGAATAATTTTCTTCTTATGTATGTTTTAGATGTGTGTGTGTGTGTGTGTTTAAGAATATACACACACATTTGTATTGTGGATAAAATCTGGGCCATGGTAAAATTTGACATTATCCAGACAATTGTAATATCAATTACATTAATTATGATTAATGCACTTGGGCATTACCTGTTTATTATAAAGTACTCTTGCTAATGTTAGGAATACACATTTTCTTCGATATTATTTTTGTTTATAACTAGCTGAGCTTTTTGGGGTAATGGTAAAGTCAATCCACTAATAATGACACTTGCTGAGTAAGTTCATTACTATAAATCCTGTATTTAATTGTTTTTGATCCCCGAGAGTCAAGTGGGGGTTTTTTGTCTTTTTCAAAAGTCTGAATGTTAACACAAGGAGTAAACAACTATTTTTATTAGAAATTAATATATATATACTTTAGCTCACTCTCTCTTCTATTACATGACACTTTTGTTTTGTAGTCTGAATGCGTAGAGTTCCTTCTGTGAAGGTTTAAATTATTCTTTTCATTAGAATTGCACGTTTTGTCCCCCATGAGCTTTCAAAATAGCTACCATATTGGGACAATCCCAAATAGCAAAGATCTGCTTTTGATTAATTTCTGACTTCCTCATCGCAACTAGAATTCCTGCCTCATTCAGGCAGAAGAGTCAATGACAGGCAGTTATATATCATTAATAAGTCACCTGACTGTGCACAAATACTAGCAGCATCACCACTTTGACCATAATCACACAATCCTTATCAGATGCTTGCAGAGCACTTCCATTTGGGTATCATTTACTAACATTTGTAACATTATCGTGTTTGGAGTAGATTTTAGGCTGGACCAGAATAAAGTAAACAGCAAATCTTTTTCATGCTCTCATTTAATGGGTTATGGTAACGAGACATTTGCTTCTTTAATTGCTTTTTAGAATCTGGAAAAGCAGAACTAGAGCTACTTATTTTGTGCATTTTATAAGGTGTTAGTTCACTTGCCTTCCGCTTTTAGTATAGTTGCACAGTGGAGTTAAATTTTACCTGATCTCTACCTCCCAGACTTTAATGTGTATCAGAATCATGTGGAAGAACCCAGGTAAGGTGAAGGTGAGGCTCTTTAAATACTGATTTCCAGAGCTCTCTCCCGAATTCTAATTCAGTGCATCAGTAAGCCTGGGAATTTGCCTTTTTGTCCATGTGATTCTGCTGCATGCCTTCTGAGGATCGTGCTTTGAGAAACATTAACAGAGAATGGTGCTAAAGAAGTCAAAGTCATAGGTTTGATTTCCTCGTGAGCATGTTAGTTCATACACACGTACACACCCGAAACTAATTTTTATAGTCCCTAAGTTGTTTCACTTCAGCTCCAAAGAACTGTCGTGAAAATACAGGTCCTTGGTCACGGAGGGAAACCTGTCAGGAATGTGTGGATAAAGCAGCTTTAATCACTGAAATAATAACTTATTCACTTATAATTTAAATAAAAATGGTAATTCAAATAATCGAATAATAATTCAAACCTATCTTGGGTCAGTGGTCATTGTTCATTTGAGAAGATACCAAGTTTATATAATTATTCACACAGTTCAAGTGTTAAGCTTGATGTAGAAACAAAATGGAAGTTAAGAGGTTGCTCTCTGAAGGTTTATTCTTATTTATAATATTATACAAGTGACATTGTGCCTTGTAAATTTTTAAACACATTTATATAAATGTATTAAATAAATATTATATTTAGTATTTTCTCAATATTGTATAGCAATTAACAGATCGTTCTCTCATGACTGAAAATATAAAGCTGAGATTATTTAAAGCGTAACTCACTCATACTTGTTTTGAGTTTAACAATATGCAGGAATGAGATAGGACTTTTAATATGAAATGAATAGGATTGGTTAATTGCCAAATTATGTAGGTAGAGGTTCGTAAAGATTGTGTATTGTAAGTATGCAAGTTTTCAAAGATTATCAAAGTTTTAAAAGGTTATTTTCTGACTGCTCTTTTGAAGTTCATAAATCTGAGAAATATTTCTTTAGTAAAACAAGTGTTCTCTTGAAGCATGTAGGTGCTACTTACTTTAAATAGATGAGTTATAAAAAGATCAAGATATGCAAAACTGATGAATTAAAAGGTAATCATTGGCTTTATGAAATTACTTTTTCCATATAAAAGAATTTGTCATAGCATTTCTTTAAATAACCAGCTTTCCTACTGCATTAAAATAGGATTTGATTTAAATACAACTTTTCTGGAACACTGTTAATATATAAACCATAGCAGACCTGTGTGATGTTATTGTGGAAATTTCTTTGTTCCTTTGGAGGTTCCAGATGAGTAGGGAGGGGTTTAACACAAACAGACGTGCACAATAGCGTGTATATGTCATTTGGCAAAGAGGCCAACAGCTAACAGACTTATTTCCCACAGCCTATTTTAGGAGGCTATTTGCTATTTTACAGATATTTTTCTTTTATTCTCACATTGAATTTTGTGCAGAGGGTCACTTGAAGTGATAAGGAGAGAAGGGAGGTTTGCCTACATGATGGTGAGAAGGTAGAACAGGTGATAATGGAAAAAGCAGGAGAAGAGGAGTGGGAGAGGGTGGGCAAGATAATGGAATAGGGTCTCCTGGGATTAGAGGAGAATGTCTGCCTTGAGAAGGTCAAAGGCAGAAAAATTATAGGGGCTCTCAGTAATGAACACGAGCAGGAAACCAGCACTAATTAACTGTATTTGGAAGATAATTTACCATTCACCTGGCAAATCATTCACAAATGCATGATTTTATGGATCTTTTTAGAAATGCACATTGACTATTTAGAAAAAACACTAACTTGTTCTCTGGTGAATATACAAATAATACCCTTCCTCCTGATTATTGTAGACAGATCTAGAGTTCCTGATTTGGGACTCTTCACACATCAGGGATAATTTCTTAACCCATTGGTGTCTGAATGCCATGGCTAAAAAGAGAGGTTTATTCTGTGGGTATTTTTCAAATCTTTGCTGCCAATTTACTAGTAAGCAATAGGAGCAATACAATCTGGACATGCAAAGCTTGGTAAAACTGCAAAGTGGGAATTGGGATCAGTCTTTGGGGAAGATGTTCAAATGCATGGCTTCAGTAAGTGCTTTTAATTTCACTCTGCAGAGTTAAAACTAACTGTAGTGCACTGTTGCAGGTGTCATTCAGGCTGCATAGCTTGTTAGAATAACCTTCCTCTGGTGTGGAGAATGACAGCTATTTACTCTCAGAGAAAGCAAGTCCACATCAGGTTTGAAAACAGACTTTTTCTGGCCCCGGCTCTTTGTTCCTTTATGCCTGTACTGTTGATGCTGAGACATTGGGGTTAGAGTGGGTTGAGGAAAAACAGTGGAACATAGAGATGTGGTGGAGAGTTGGGGGAATAAACAGAAGTGGAGATTCTGACTGAATAATAATACAACAGGAAAAATGATCTCTGAGCCAACAACTCTGTCACAATCATACTAGGGGCCCCCAGAGAGCTAATAGCTATTGAGACACCACTGTGTGGCAGATATTGTACTTAATGTTTTTCATTCGTTTTCTCATTTAATCCTCACAACAACCATATGAGTGTGGATAGTATTATTGTCCTCATCTTATAGAGGAAGGAACTAAAACTCAGAGAGGTGAGTGACGTGCCCAAGGTCACTTACTTTGTAATTAACAGAGCATGGATATAATCTAGGTTTTTCTGACTGTCAAATATAACATTTTAACCACCACCAAGCACAAACCATACAATTTCATATACAAAACATGTTAAATACATTGAAAACAGATGCCAAAATATTGATCACCATGCCCATCATTCCACTATAATGTCCTTGTTGGACATTCACCATTTGGTTTTCAATAATTCTCTATTGCAATTTAGATACCTCTGATGAGGATACATTCAACATTTTGGAGCTTAGTCTTTAGCTCTCAGTGAGCACCTTAGATCAGATCAGTAGGAGTGGGACACAGAAATAAATCTGAGCTTAGGATGGTGTCAGAAATGAAGCAAGGAAAAGTGTAATGGCAGGAAAAGCAAGAATGTATGGAAGATGGAATTTGTCAAGCTTCACGTTTTGGTGCCATATGGCCCTATTAATGTGAAAATCTACATTTGTTTAAAAAGTGGATTCCAGGGAGGTTCATTGCAGTTATGACAATGATTTCAAGCTAGTGGAAGTGATGCAATGGAGAATAGTCTAGTTAAACAATGTTGATTCAGTTGATAAAGACCAACGAA